CAACTAATTTCCGATCAATGACAATGATTTACATGTTTTTAATTTTCCTTTTACAATTGAAATTTTGTTCTTCATGATGATTTAATTCAGTCCCCGTTAAAAATTATTTAACATTTTACGTTCAAGTTATTTCAAAACATCTTTCAAAATATAATTACCAGTATGGATTCACTCTTTAAAATAATTCTACTTTAAATATACTTAGGAGATAATATAATCAATTAATCAATTTGTTTAGGAAATAATTATTATTAACTAACTTTGCAGCATTGTGCAAGTAGTAGTAACTTGTTTTCGCACTAAATGAATTTAAGATCATACTATATATATATATATATATATAAACATTATTTTTTATGAGATAATTTCTGCTAAAGAAATTTTGTTTTTTTTTTTTTTTTTTTTTTTTTTTTTTTTTTTGAACTAAACTTTAGTTTTCGTATTCAACTAAAATGAGTATACACTCTAAGACAGAAAAAAAAAAAAAAAAAATTCACCAAGAAGGAGTTACTCAAATGGGATGAAAATCAGTACATATGATGTACATGTAAAGAAAAACAAAAGAATACATTTTCAGAAGAACTGGATAATTTATTCAAGAGAAAGAGCTTCACAAATCAAAAAGTCAATAATGCATTGGTCCACTTCTGGCTCTTCAGCTTATTAGCTTGTATTAGTTATTCAGCTTGGCGTTGATTAACAGAGTTGGCAGATGTCCTCCTGTGGATATTGTGCCAAATAAAGATCTGGTGACTTTGCTGGCCAAGGTAATGTTGGTAAGCATGAAAACAAGCAGTAAGAACTATCACCGTGTGCAGGCGGTTTTTAGCTGAAATGTAAGCCTAGGATGGTGTGATATGAAGGGCAACACAATGGGTCGTAGAATACTGTTGGCATACTGCTGTGCTGTAAGAGTGTTGCAGACTACAACCACAAAGGGGTTCTGCTATTAAGTGCGGTGGCACTCCAACCACTGTCGAGCCATATTGTGGGTGACAGTCGGATTGATATCCTATTGCTGGGTGTGTCCAGACATGCCTTTGCTGGTCATCAGGCCTCAGTTTGAAGTGGGATTTATCACTGAAGACAATTCTACTCCAGTCAGTGACATTCCAGGTTGAATGTGCCTGATACCAATGCAAACGGGCTTGTCTGTGTACAGAGGTCAGTGGTTGTCAGTGTAGCTAAGAGAAAGAAGGCAGCGTGACCTCAGCCTTCTTTCTCTTAGCCGCCTATTAATGGTCCTTGTAGTAACTGAAGCACCAGTTGCATGTAGGATCAATGGTAATGATGAATCTGGGGCTGTGAGTGCTGCTTTGACGATTGATCGGTTCTCAGGTTCTGTCGTCTCTCTATGCCAACTGCTTCCTTCTTGACATTGTATTCAGCCATGGTTCACTGATTCCTGCCAACATCATCTAGTAGTGGCATCACACCTATCGAAATGTCGAGCAGTTCGTTGATTAAACCAACCGGTTATTTGAGCCCAACTAGACGTCCTCTCTCAAATGTTGTCATCTGTGCATGTTGTTTTCACACTTGTACGTGAGGCATAGTTACTGTCTACCTGAGTAAATAGAATGAAATTTGCAAAGAATATATGACCTGAAATCAAAATTTCTCTTCTTTAATATCCTGCCAGTTGTGTATTTAAAATGTGCTGCAGCACCACATGTTCATTATTGGCTACCAAAGTTTAAAATTTTGCATTTTCTGTCATATCAGTTTTTGTCCACTTTGTATTACTCTTTCTTGATTTCTTTTTTTTTTTTCTTTCATTTTCTGTCTTAGATTGTATATTTATGTGTAAATATATATGTATTTATATATACATGTATATATGCAGTTGCTCTAAAAAGTATTCAATCTTCGTTTGATTATCTAAACAATGCATCATTAAAAAATATTAAACAATGAATTAGAAATTTATTTTTGCACTGTGAAAATGACAGAATGAAGATATGCCTCTGTTATTAATTATTAATATTAGTTTCTATTTATTAATATTAGTTTATTTTGTCAAGTTTATTTAAATATTAGTTATTTTGCACATTTTCAAAGAAATTAAATAAATTTGTACTATCATAAAAAAGCAAAAACATTTTAGATTCCATAGCATGAGTCAAAAAAGTATTAATATTGTAATTAATATTTTGTAGGATGGTCCTTAGACTTAATAATGGTTTTCAGTCTAGATGCTTACAGCTAGTTTATTAATGTAATCTCTTTATATTTTATACTATTTTCTGGGACATTTTGAAATTTCTCGCTTCAAATTTGATGAAATGAGTATGATTCAAGCACAAAAGTTTCAAATAACCTTAAAGCAATACACATAGAATATTTAGAATGTCTTCAAGTGTTAATTTAAACTTTGTAACCTTTCAAACAATCTATGAATGGCCAGAGTTGAATACTTTTTTGGCAATAAAAACAAGTCATTTACGAGAAAGTCACTTTTATCCCAATCAAATTTGTTTTTCCAAATACGATGTTGCATTTAATGACTAGTACAGACCTTAATAAATACAGTAGAGTCCCGAAAACTTGGTACTAAATAACCCAGCAGCTCGGATAACTCTGCCACACCCTGGCAGGTTGAAAAACACCAGCGCACAGACCCATTCAAGGTTATTGCCCCTTGTGCATATGTCCCCCTTTTCCTGCATTACACTTCTACTCCTCTTTCATGTAACTGGTGCCGGCATGCGTTCATCTGTTCAGTCTACCTGCAGCCTATGCCAGGGTTAGTCGATTTCTTTACCGCATTGCATTATTCAATATGAATGACTGTACTGTATTGATCAGAGCTGTTTCGAAGTTTGTGGGTGTTGGACAGACTATGCGTCTGTTAACTTAAGAACATAACATTAATAATTTTATTTTGACTTTTGTTCTGACATCTTCTGTTAAAAGAAAACAAGTGAACTTCTCTATGGAGCAAAAATTGGAGGGCATTAAAGAGACTGGATGAGGGAGAAGTTTTCAGTGCAGTGACTTGGGAGTCAACAAAAGTTTGGAGACTGGAAGAAGAAGCGGACAGAAATTGAATTGTAGTGTGTTAAGAGAATGTGTACAGAAACATTGAAAGAAAGGAAAAGTATGAAGGAAAGTGAATTTAATGAGGTGAGTGAAACGCTTTACATTTGGTTTCATCAAACAAGAGAGAAGAGCACTCCAATTAGTGGGCCAATCATGCAAGAGAAGGCCTTGAAATTTTATGAAGAATTATAAAAAGACAACGATCCTAAATTTATCGCAAGCACTGGCTGGCTTGATCACTGGAAGAAACAATATAGAGTGCGACAGCTTAGTATTTTGGGGAAAAACTATCTGGGGATACGGAGGGTATGTCTCAGTTTAAGGAAAACTTTGAGAAATTTATCAAAGTTGAGGGTTTGACTGAAGAGCAATTGAAGAATTGTGATAAAACAGGGTTAACTTATAAACTGTTGCTCGTGAAACATCTTGCTTTCAAGGGAGAACAGTCAGCTCCTGGTTTTAAAAAAAGCAAGGAAAAGGTAAAAATCCTAGCATGCAGTAATGCAACCGGGGACTACAAATTAAAACTTTGTGTCATAAGACAATCAAAGAAATCATGTGCATTTAAGCACATTGAAATGGATAAACTTTAGATTTGATATCTAAATCAGTCAAATGGCTGAATGAGCTGTGCAATTTTCAAAATATGGTTCCATGAAGTATTTGTTCCATCGGTTGAACGGTATTTAAAAATGTAAAAAACCTGCCAAGGAAGGCTATTCTGATTCTGGAACAAAGCGTTTTCACATCCAGATATTGAAGAATTAAAAAAGGGGGACTTATGAGCAATATTTTTACCACCCAATGTCACAGCGTTATGTTAGCCAATGGACCAAGAAATTTTGGTTAGTCTCAAGAGAAGATATAGGCACAAGCTGTTATCCTCTCTTCTTTCTGCAAACGATGATTGTCAAAATCTTATCCAGAACTTAAAAAAGAAAAAAAAATTGTTACTTATTAGATGTAGCTGGATGGGTGGTGAACACCTGGTCATTAACACAACTTCATTCATGGCGAAAACTCTTTCATCACAAGGGAAATGAGGTCCTTGAACATGATGATGCAGAAAATGTAAACTTACTTGACCTCCTGAAAAGAATTCCTGGATGTGCAGCAGCTGATGAAAATGACATTGAACAGTGGTTCCAGAATGATACTGAGCAAGACATAATGTCTGATGCAGAAATTATTACTGCTATCACAGTTAATGAAGAAATGCTGGAAAATGATGAAAACGTTGACTTTAAGGACTCGACCATACAAGCCCGTAAAATATCACATAGTACAGGACTAAAGGCTGCTGAAACCTCCTTACAGTAATTTGAACAACAAGGTGCATTGGTAATAGACTTACTGTCCCTTTGTCGTCTTGGTGATGAAGCAGCAAAATGCAGAGTGTAGTGCAGAAAACAACAGGACATTACACATTTCTTAAAAAAAAAAGTAGCCACCTTTTGCAAAGTCACCAAATTAGTTTTCATTATAGAGAGCTTTATGCCTTCATAAAAATTGCTGTACAATATGTATTCATTAAATTTCATTGGTAAAAGTTCTATGCTTTCAAAAAGTACTTGCTTTTCTGTTTAAGGGTATTTTGATAGTTTAAGTTTGAGTTACAGTATTGAATTCTTTGTAAACTGTTGTATTTGCAAGCAACCAATACTTATGTATTTTCTGAGGAAACACTCATATATTTTAAAACCTTACCTGATAACCCACAATTTTCACAAATTTGGCCGCCCTTTGGTCCACATTAGGCCAAGTTTTCGGGCTCCTACTGTACTACAATAAAACAAGGTTAACAATAAATAATCACAGAATAATCTTTTTATGTCATTTTAAAGACACTGATTAGTAAAGTCGAATACTTTTTTGATAAACTGTATATTTAGACTCTGACTTGTTGTAAATCTTATTTGTATGCTTTTCACAAGCTTGTCCTGTCATGTAACTTGAGGATATTATTGTATACTAAATGCAATTTCATCTCAAATAATATTTTACTCATTTTTTATAGCTTCAGCCAGATCTGAGGGAACTCCATGACACTATGTGCAGGCTTACTTTGGTACCTGCAGATTTTGAGGGAAAACAGAAATTACATGAATGGTAACATTATTTCATATAACTTTAATGTTCATCTCTCTCTCTCTCTCTTTTTTTTTTTTTTTTTAATTGAAAAGAATTTATAAAATTTAGGAAAATTATGCCAGTGTAAAAATATAATGAAAAGTATTGAAATTTGAAATGACTTCAAATGTTTATTAAATTTTGGGATCCAAATGGACATAATTAATTAAAAAATTTATTGGTGTCCAATATGTAAAACAGGCATCTAAAAAAAGAAACTAACATCTGAAAAGAGGGAAAATATTTTTTAAAAATTCACTGAAGTAATTTTGTAAATATTTCATATACTTACAGTACTTTTGTGGATAATTAAAATTTTATTATTAATTAGAAACCTATCTTAAGTTTTTTTAATATATGTAAATGACAGCAGCTTTCATTGACCTTTTTATAAGTTATTGGATTGCTTGAAGCAGAATCACCACTCTCAGAATTGTGGTACAGAATCGATGACAGTTCTCCATATTTCATGTAACACTATCAGTCAATAAGGAAATTTTCCAACAACGTAAAGTAATTTTGCATTTAACCTGTTTATTAGTAATAACGACTGTTATTGACATCTACGTAAGAATCTGTTGATATAAATACTCATCATATTGTGGATATGGATCCTGAACCTATCATCATGAATGCTGATATGACTTACATTCATATAAATCCAGGGTAATATTGAGTATGTTGACTATCCATTAGAGTAGTTGGCATCTCTTTGAGGATCTGAAAGCTGCATATTTGCGATATGAATCCTGACCTATTAATATGAACACTGAAATGACTGGCAGAATGATTTAAGGATCCTAATACAGTCAAAAGTCGTTAATTCGGACACCCATAATCCGGACCTCAAAGCCACAAACTTTTTGCACATGCGTCTCGTCAATAGGCGTTTACGCACGCGCATAAGACCTTTATGGCTGCGAATATGCGTCTGCGCATGCGCATAATACGTTACGCATGCGTGTTTAATGTATAACGGACGGTATAAGCTAAGCTAAAATTATCTAATTCAGTTAATGTTGCAGATTGTGTTGTTCCTTAATCTTTGTATTGGATCCGGCTTATTATTTTTTGAAGACTGTTAAAGCAATTTTATAAAAAGTAAGCTGAACTTTTGATTATGTCAAATAGAATTCCGATATATATTTACTAATATGTAAAGGATCTACAAAGCGAAAGTAGGTTTCGAAGTCCATTAAACAAAAAGTGGAATGCTGCAAAAAATGGAATAAAGGCATATCTTTTTTTTCCTCTAACATTCTGAAATCTGTTTATCAATTTCACACTGCTCTGCGGTGGGGGGGGGACGCCGCGGCACGCAATGAATTGGAAATTGATCTGTCAGCACTCTCCTTATCTTCAGGGCAGATGTTTTTATTTTATTTGGCTTATAATTACTAAATGTAGTATTCATCTGATGTACTCCGTCTTTGATATGATTTAAATCAAATTCCTCGTCATTATAATTCGCTTCAATAGTGAAGAAAGTGACACAGAGGTGTTGAAACAAAAAAATTTCGATTGACAAATTAGTCGGTATTCTCGACACAGCAATTATGGACTTGAACAGCGGAACTTTGTAACTGAAGAAGAAATTATGTCTGTTATAGAATTAAAAGAGAAAGTATTATCACATAAAACGAAGCAACTTAAACAACTTACATTGAAAGAAATGTTTAATAAAGTAAACAAGTAAATATTAAGCTCTTTTTTTTTTTTTTTTTTTTTTTTTTTTTTTTTTTTTTTGTAAATTTTGATACCCTTTAGATCATAATTGTTCTTTATTTCATAAATTATGGTTTTATATTTTTAATTTTATAATTTCTGCATGGCATCGTACCAGATTTAAACTGATGATCTATAATCCGGAAAAATCGATAATCCAGAATCGCCGAAGTCCCGACGAGTCCAGATTAAAGACTTTTGACTGTACTGAATAAAATCAACATCTGTGGATGTAAATGCCTAGCTGTAACCAGCGGAACTTTTAAACTGAGCCTTTGTTAAATATATCTCTTAATATGTGAGGACCTTGTTCTTTTTGTTTAATTTTGATGTATTCCAAGAAAAATACATGTTTGGTATGATTTCAGAATTTCCTTGAGATGGCTTTAAAGACTGCATAATGAAATTCCCATACAGTCAAAAGTTGTTAATTCAGACACCAATAATTCGGAATGATCTATAATCCGGACCTCAAAGCTAAAAACTTTCTGCGCATGCGCCGTGTTGACACATGCGCATAGGCGTTTACGCGTGCGCGTAAGACCTCTTACGACTGCGCATTTGCATGTGCGCAAGCGCAGAATACATTTTCGCGTGCGCGTTTTATGTACAACGGACAGTATAAGCTAAAATTATCTATTTCAATATATCTAATTTCTAATTCAATATTGATGATTGTGTTGTTTCTTAATTTTCGAATTGGATCCGTCTTATTATTTTTTGCAGACTGTAAGAGCAATACTATAAAAGTAAACTTGAAATTTCGATTATGTCAAATAGAATTTCCGATTCTGGAGCTCCCAAAGCATCGTACAAAATGAAAGTATGTTTCGATGTCCATCAAACAAAAAGTGGAATTGCTGCAAAAAATGGATAAAGACATGAAGAATGTGACAGAGAGGTTTAGTGAAAACGAAAAAATTTCGATTGACAAGTTAGTCGGTATTCTCGGCACAGCAATTAACGGGACTTGAACAGTGGAACTTTGTAACTGAACAAAAAATTATGTCTGTTTATAGAATTAAAGAGAAAGTATTATCACATAAAACGAAGCAACTTAAACAACTTACATTGAAAGAAATGTTTAATAAAGTAAACAAATAAATATTAAGCTTTTTTTTGTAAATTTTGATACGTTTTAGATCATAATTGTTCTTTATTTCATAAATTATGGTTTCATATTTTTAATTTTAGAATTTCTGCATGCCATCTTACGCGATTTAAACTGATGATCTATAATCCGGAAAAATCGATAATCCGGAATCGCCGAAGTCCAGACGAGTCCAGAATAACAACTTTTGACTGTAGTGCAAAGAAAGCTTTAATCGATATGGAGACCATAGCAATTAATAATGCTGAAGCTGAATGAGTTTTCCTGAAATGGGAAACCTTTAAAAAACTTTATCCCAAACCTGAAAAATCATGACTTGGTTATAGAACCTCCTATACAAGATCAACTGAGATGAAAGAAGAAAGTAATTGCATGACAGCTTCTAGTATGTGTCAGGCCACATAATTAAATTTCATTATTTTATATAACTTATGTGATATTTTGTGATTTTTATTCCAAAGGGGCAATTTGCCCATAAAGACTATTCATTTCGTTATGGCATTTTGCATTGACTTGCATTTGCATCACCTTTCAAATTGTTGCCACCAAATATTAGAACCCTGTATATTTAAAGAAATTAAATAATGAAGAATCTGCATAAATGTATGTATGTTTCTTGCATTATGAAAAAACAACAGTACCTAGAGCCATCAAATTTTGAATAACGTACATTTCCACCAGAATATGGGCACCTTGAAGCCCTAATTTGAAATTTGTTTTATTATCTATAAGCAAGCAATGGCAACACTGTACCCCCAAAAAAATTATCTCCAGCACGAGAGACCATGTATTGGAAATTCTAAAGATATGCTCATTTTAAATTATTTTGCGATATTGCTGTTTGGTTTAAGTGCGAAGAACATGATATTTAATAAATAAAGGTAACATGCAAAATGTTAAAAAAGGGGGAAGGCCCATTTGGGCATACTGTAAAATCTGAAAGCTTTCAGATTTTATTTACTTATTTATTTTTAATTTTAAAATAGTTAGAAACAGCAAAATTTTCACCATCAGAAACAGCAAAATTAATAGGAATTTAGGACTGGCAGAGAGTGCACTGGGCCACAAAATATCCAACACCAGCCAGTCTCATGATGCATGGGCACTATTTAAATTTTAAGCTAAGTTAAAATTCAGGAGATGCAGCAGGATCTACAAAGTGAAAGCATGTTTTGATGTCCATTAAGGAAAAAGTGGAATGTATAAAGATATATCCTTCTCAAAATTATGTGGGGAGTATGGCATTGGAAACTAAAACTATGACAAAAGGGGGGAATGCTAAAAGGAACTGTTTGAATTTTATGTGGATTCCATTACTTTATGTGCAATGAATAACAGAAAAATCGTTTGTCTGCTGATTGGATGGGTGAAACAGCATCACAATGAAGGCATTCCATTGATAGATCTAGTGCAAATTGCTCAAGCTAAAATATTCCTTGATTAAATGAATGTAAAAACCGAATGCATATATTCAACTGGTTGGTTAACCAAATTACCAGGTAGTTAAAAATTTCAAGTGAAAAAGCTGAATTCAGGTGAAGCAGCTGAACTATTTCCTGATAAATTCAGTGAACTTATTAATAGTGAAAAATAATATCTAGATTGGAGATAAATTCATTGAACTCATTAATAGTGAAAACTTTTCTCCAGAACAAATGTACAGTGCTAAACTGCTCTTTTCTAGCAATCTGTGCAGCCTTTGCTGCCTCTGCAGGAAAGGCTCCAACTAGACTTAAAGCAAGACTAACAATCTTTGCATGTGTAAATGCTACAGGACTGCACAAGTGTAAGGAATAATTACAGAGAGATGGTTAAAAGTGAAAAAATTTCAATAAGTCAGAATTCTCGACACAATTACAGGATTTGTGCAGTGGAACTGTCTAGAAACTGTCTTTCTCTAGAATTGAAGGGAAAGTATTAGCATAAGAAATGAAATAACGTAAACAGCTTACACTGAAAGAAATGTTCAGTAAAGCAAGCAAATAAATATTGAGCTTTTTTTGTAAAGTTTGATTCCGTTAAGATCATAAATGCTTCATTATTTCATAAACTACTGTTTCATAGCTTTAATTTAAAATTTTTACATATCATCTTACTAGGTTTTTAACTAATGTTCTAATACTAATTTAGTCAAACAACAAAA